AATCGAATAGCTTGCCTCCTGGAGTTGTGAGAGCTCCATCACTGGAGGTCTTAAAAAAAAAAGTTGGACAGTCATTTATCTGGGATGCAGAAAGTCTCCTGTTTGGGGAAGGGAGCTGGACTAAAAGACCTCCAAGAAACTTTCCAGCCCTATGATTCTATGACTCTTTTTCTAAAAAAACCCAACAATTTTTATTTATTTTTAAACAAAGACAAAACAAACATTAAAAAAAATAAAAATAAAAAACCATTTTCCATTACAAATTGTNGAGGGCCAGATGCCATGATCTTACTTTTCTTAATGTTGAGTTTCAAGCCAACTTTTGCACTCTCCTTCACCCGCATCAAGAGGCTTTTTAGTTCCTCTTCACTTTCTGCCATTAGAGTGGTATCATCTGCATATCTGAGATTGCTGATATTTCTCCCGGTATTCTTAATTCCAAATTTTGATTCATCTAGCCCCACCTTTCTCATGATGGGCTCTGTATATAAGTTAAATAGGCAGGGCGACGGTATACAGCCTTGCCTGACTCCTTTCCCAATTTTGAACCACTCAGTGGTTCCATCTCCACTTCTCACTGTTGCTTCTTGACCGGCATATATGTTTCTCAAGAGACAAATAAGATGGTTTGGTACTCCCATCTCTTTAAGAACTTGCCACAATTTGTTGTGATCCACACAATCAAAGGCTTTGTCATAGTCAATGAAGCAGAAGTAGATGTTTTTCTGGAACTCCCTAACTTTCTCCATGATCCAGTGTATGTTGGCAATTTGATCTCTAGTTTCTCTGCCTCTTTGAAATCCTGCCTGTATTTCTGGTAGTTCTCGATCCATATACTGCTGGAACCTCACTTGTAGGATTTGGAGCATAACTTTACTAGCATGTGAAATGAGGGCAATGGTGAGATAGTCTGAACATTCTTTGGCATTGCCTTTCTTTGGAATTGGAATGTAAACTGACCTTTTCCAATCCTGTGGCCACTGTTGAGTTTTCCAAATTTGCTGGCAAATTGGGTGCAGCACTTTTACTGCATCATCTTTTAAGATTTTGAAAAGCTTAACTGGAATATTGTCACCTCCACTAGCTTTGTTGTTGCTCAGATTTCCAAAAGCCCATTTGACTTCACATTCTAGGAAGTCTGGCTCTAGGTCAGTGACCACCCCATTGTGGTTATCAGGGACGTTAAGCTCGGCCTTCTATAATTCTTCTATGTAATTTTATCACCTCTTCTAATCTCTTCTGCCTCTGTTAGGTCCTTGCCATTTTGGTCCTTTATTATGCCCATCTTTGCATGAAATGTTCCCTTCATATCTCCAATTTTCTTGAAGAGATTTTTGGTCCTTCCATGTCTATTGTTTTCTTCTATTTCTTTGCACTGCTCATTTAAGAAGGCATTCTTATCTCTGGAATTCTGCATTCAATTGGGTGTATCTTTCTCTTTCTCCCCTGCCTTTCGCTTCCCTTCTTTCCTCAGCTATTTGCAAAGCTTCCTCAGACAGACATTTTATTTTCTTGCATTTTTTTTCCCTTTGGGATGGTTATAGTTGTTATCTCTTGTACAATGTTGTGAACCTCCGTCCATAGTTCTTCAGGCACTCTGCCTATCAGATCTAATTCTTTAAATCTATTTATCACCTCTACTGTATATTCATCAGGGATATGATTTACTTCATACCTGACTGGTCTAGTGCTTCCCCCTACTTTCTTCAATTTAAGCCTAAATTTTGCAACGAGAAACTGAGCCACAGTCAGCTCCTCGTCTTGTTTTTACCGATTGTATAGAGCTTCTCCATCCTTGGTTGCAGAGCACATAGTCAATCTGATTTCTGTGTTGACCATCTGATGATGTCCATGTGTAGAGTTGTCTCTTGGGTTGTTGGAAAAGAGCGTTTGCTATGACCATTGTATTCTCTTGTCAAAATTCTATCAGCCTGTGTCCTGCTTTATTTTGTACTCCAAGGCCAAATGTGCTTGGAGTACTCCAAGGCCAAAAGATAACTGGAGATTATTCCAGTTATCTTTTGGCTTCCTACTATAGCATTCCAATCCCCCATGATGATAAGGACATCATTTTTTGGTGTTAATTCTATAAGGTGCTGCAGGGTTCATAGAACCAGTCAATTTCATCCTCTTCAGCACCAGTGGTTGTGGCATAGACCTGGACTACTGTGATGTTGAATAGTTTGCCTTGGATTCGAACTGAGATCATTCTGTCATTTTCGGGATTGTATCCCAATATTGCTTTTCCTACTCTTTTATTGACTATGAAGGCCTTCATAGGGATTTTTGCTCACAGTAGTATACCTGATGGTCATCTGAATTAAATTCACCCATTACTTCCATTTTAGTTCGCTGATTCCTAAGATGTCGATGTTCAGTCTTGTCATCTCTTGTTTGACCATGTCCAGCTTGCCTTTTCATGGATCTTACATTCCAGGTTCCCATGTATAGATCTTTACAGCATTGGAGTTTCCTTTCACCAACAGATACATCCACAGCTGACCGTCCTTTCAGCTTTGGCCCAGCCGCTTCACTCTTTCTGGCGCTACTAGTACTAGTCCTCTGCTGTTCCCCAGTAGCATATTGGACACCTTCCAACCTGAGGGGTTCATCCTCCGGCTTCATATCTGTCCATGGGGTTTTCATGGCAAAGATGCTGGCGTAGATTGCCATTTCCTTCTCCAGTGGATCACGTTTTGTCAGCAAAAAAAGCATTACCCATATATATCTTCTATTAAATAAAATAGTTTTAAATAAAAGTACAAAATACTGCTTGAGTTTTGCCACAAGTTCATGATTTTTTTTGTACATTATCATACTCCATCAACTTTCTTTAACAGCACGTAAGCATCATACTGACTTCTGGCCCACATACAATGGATGGACTACAGGAATATTCTCAAAATTGTTTATAATATTCTCTGGCAGACAGACTCTGGAGCCAAAGGCCATACTGTGTGTTCTGAAGTGACTGGCAAGCATGGACGGTCTAATCTATGAAGCCAAGTGTCAATTAGTAAGACTTCTATTCCTAGGATGCCCATGTGTGGCTGCCCCCTGACCAAAGAGGTGGCAATAAATGCCAATGTGATGGACTTCCCTCCCACAGTGATTCACGATGAAATGTGAGACCTGCTTGATTTGGTCTCCTGGTTTGTATGCCACAAATGGGCCATTTCTCTGATTTCTATAGCAAATACATCCTAGGTGCCCCATTGTATATTGAGGTAGTGTCAGACAAAAAAGGTAAGTAGCACAAACTTTTGCAACCTATAGTAACAACCAATTGTGAATTCACTTGGAATTAAGGCATGAAGCTATTCATATGGCAACCACTTCCATATAGAACACCAGTAGATAACTATTCTGCTCTCTTAGTTGACATAACTGCTATTAGGAAATTTGTAGGAGTTGTCTATCAAGCTCAAAAAAATGCAGCAATTAATGGTCAGAAGATTAGTATTGGAGACCGGGTAGGAAATCAATGCACAATTAATAGGGATAAAAGTCAGAAAAATATTTTTATGTGGAGATAGTTAGATAAGAGAGTAATCATCTAGTAATACAGAAGGTAGCGTGGCTACTTTTTATTCAATTATGCCTATAGGAATGCCAACAACTTTGATACGTTGTCAATTATTTGTTGGAATGTGCAGGTGAAGAAGTGGGGTAGGAAACTTCCAGCAACAGCACTGTAGCTTCCCAAAGAAAAAGCAACACATGCCAGGCCCAAATAAGAGACTGTGCAGTCCTAAACTGGATAGGAGAAGAGAGAAAAAGGTTCAGGGTAGTCACACAGGTATCTATCAAGGTAAATCTATTAGGTTAGAAGATTATAACTTTAGATTGATGAGTTTCTGTCTATTAGACCAGGGGTTCCCAATCCCCAGTCCACTACAGGCAGTCCTCAACTTACAACTGTTCATTCAGTGACCGTTTGAAGTTACAATGACACTGAAAAAATGATTTGACTGTTTTTCATAGTTATCTTTGCAACATTTCCATGATGTGACCAAATTTAAAATGTTTGGCAATTGTGTCATACTTAGGACCATAGCAGTGTCCTGGAGTCATATGATCACCTTTTGCAAATTTTTGACAAGCAAAGCCAATGGGGAAGCCAGGTTACTACTTAGTAATCTGTGTTACTAAGTTAACAATCACAGTGATTCATTTAACAACTATGGCAATAAAAGTTGTAAAATGGGGCAAAACTCACTTAACAAATTTCTCACATAGCAATATAAATTTTGGTCTCAATTATGGTGGTAAGTTGAGGACTACCTGCACTGGGCAATGAGCTGTTTCGCAACTGGACTGCAGAAGCGGTGCCCACCACTCGCGCAAATGGTATTGTGGGTGCATGCACATTTGCCAGCTGCTTGGGTGGAACTAACACCACCACCCTGCCCCCCACTGCCGGCCACAAAGCTGGAAAGGTTGAAAAACTCTGTATTAGGGAAAACAAAGAACTGAACTCAACTGGATTTCACTGTTTCATCTTTGGACTTAGTGTGACAAATTAGTTCTGCATGTAAACCCTAGCATCTGTAAAAATACCCAAAGATGTTCCAGTGAAATTCAATAGAATCTCTGCCTCCCATCCCCAACATTTTGGAAGTATGATTTTTACAGTGTAAAAATAGATGCTATCAGCCATTAGAAGAGAAAATGTATTTGTTCTCATCTTTTAAATCCCTAATGGGACAAAATAAAATTACCAGTATTCAATGGCATATGGCCTAGATTTAGCAATGAGACTTACAATTTTTTTAAAAGAGAGAAATAAGAAAGGAATGGAAGCACAAAATTATTCTGAGGCAAAAATTCTAATTTCCATTCTTATTCCATCCCCTACATCTGTCAAAACCTTTTAATTTGCTACTTCTGGTACCACTACTTAGTTAGTGGAAGACCTCAGCCCACCAAGTTATTCAGTCAATCAGATGCAGCATTTAGATCAGGAAAGATTGGCTAGCTATGATCTAGTAAAATCCTACCTGGCCAGAAGAACTCATGGCACAATGAATTAATGGTCGGGATGTGATTAGGACGCACATAGCAATAATCAATGGGGGCTTCTGGTTCAGGAGTCCAGTTTGGATCATTCTTATGATAATGAGCTCGTATTTCCATCAGCAGCTGAAGTTTTGGGGGCCTGTTCTCATAATCGCGTCTAGAGAAAACAATTGAAAAAACTGAGTTAATGTTTTCCCCAAAATAAGACCTACCCAGAAAATAAGACCTAGTCTGATTTTTTAAAAGCGTGCACCTATTAGCTCTACCTCCAAAATAAGCCCTGGTGAATGGGGGATGGACATGGCCAGTACCAGAGGAGGTGGGGGTTGACGGTTTCTGGCAGCAGCCACAGCCTGCGCAGGTGAATCCCAAGCAACAGCTGGAGGAAGAGAGAGCCAGGCGATCCGGACATATGGTGCCGGCCACAGGAAAGCTGAGTCAGTGGGCTGGAGCTGGCAGCTGACTGCAAGAGGCTCGTCTTCGCATAGCGGACAGCGGCAGAGGTGCAGGGGGGAGGAACGCAATCTGGATGTGCAGTGTGGGCCACAGGCAAGTAGAGATGTGAAGATGACTCTCCTGCAACTGCCCACCCACTCTGTCTCTCGGCTTGCCTGTGGCCTAGATATTGCGTGCCTCCTATGCACCTCTGGTTGCTGCCGGCGCCGCCACATGAAGACGAGCCTCCCGTAGCTGCCCACTTGTAAGAAAGGAAAGCCCATTCTCAATTCATTTCAGATTAAGAAGTATATGAATAGGAAAAATCCAAAGATTTTTACAAATACAAATATGCTATCCTAAGAAAGACTACAATAATACTTTCCAACTATCTCCACTGAGAAATACTTAGGGATATCCTTTTATTCCTATAAAAAATAGGAATATTTCGATCTGACTCACTGTCCTGAATTCCCCAAAAGCAGAATTTCAAGACAACACCTTTTGGGACTCCCAAAAGTGGTCTTAGTGGTCACTCTATTTCAACATTATGCACCTTGTTATTTCAATATTAACCTGAGAGCAAAAAATTAATGTTTGTCGATAATAGGTGATTCACTAGTCACAGGAACAGTCATCATATATAGATCAGCATCCTAGTGCTCCAGGATGTTTGAAAAATATAGTTCAACAGTTCTGAGATAATATCTACCAGCACCTTCAGATTTCTGGGATGTAATCCATTTGATCCTGGTAATCTGAACTCATCTATGGTGAATTGGTGTTCTCTTACCATTTTCTTGCCTATTTTGATTTGTATTCCTTTACGGTACTGATACAGAACAGATAGTTACGGTTTTGATAGTTTGGACTTAACTTTTTTTGTGTTCTTACATGTTCAAACAAACTTTTTAAATTATTTTTGGCATTTGTTCCAACTTTTACTTCATTCTGAGCCTTAGCTTTCCTGACTTCATCCTTGCAGATTTGAGCTATTTGGTGGTATTCTTGTTTCTCTCCCAGTTTGTCAGAAACTTCTTTATGCAAACTTACTGTTTTCATCTGGGGTCTCTTGTTTTTATTTTATTTCTCTGAGGTATTGTATTAAATTGAGCTTTTATTTTTTTCATTTTTCCAATTTCCTCAGCATCGAGGCCCCCCACCCCCACACTTTAGGATTCCTATTTGTGAACTGCTTCCTAAACTCTTAGGTTCATTGAAGTCAGGTCTTTTAAAGTCTAAGACAGTAGTGTTACTTTGTTGAATTATATTATGTTGCATTCCAGAATGACAGTCACCCTCCCACAAAGTTCCTGCAACTTCAACCCCATTTCATCTTTGTTAGTAACTGATAAGTCCAGTGTTAACTGACCCTCTAGTTCCCTCCTCTTATCTTTTTGGTAACAAAGTTGTCAACTAGCCTTATCAGAAACTTGTTTTCCTTGACTTTTTTTAACATATTGAAATTGTTTTGGACTTTTTTTACAAGTCTTTATTCATTGTGAGCTTAGTTTTCCTGACTTCATTTTTACAGATTCAGGCTGTATGCTAATATTCTACTTCAGTTATGTGTCCCCTTTTCTATTTTTAT